TGGAGTGGCCTCATGCGCGCTACTGCCAGTTCTTTTTGAAGTTATGCTTGAATATTCAATCATTAAAAACAGAAAATTAAAGATTGGAAGAGCCGACTTACTTTTTGTGCTCGCCTCTTCTACATAAGACCTCGAAGGAAACTGTTGCTGTTAGGGTCCAACAAAATATAATAAAGAAGAATGAAGAAGCGCTATATCGTGGTGGAAAGTAAAGCGGCACGGCGCCTTCGCATTCGTAATTTCCAGCACCTGAATGAACAGGAAAGCTTGCTTTTTAAAACGAACCTTGAGAAAAAAGAGGTATAGGTATTTCACTTGTCTTCACCTCATTTTCTCGACTGAAAAGGGGTCTAACATATGAGCTGCAACTGCTTCCACTATCCCTATATAGGACCACGAATTTGCTGACCTAATGAAGGAAATGCTCACCTACTCATCAAAAGAAGCGTCTTGTTTGCAACGAGTTGCTAACTCGTATGTTTTCTGGAATATTTTCCCAACAGACAGTCTTCTGATTTACCTGATCATTTTTGCAAGCGATATCGTCACTCTATAGCGCGGTAGTCAGAACTATGGTCATTTGTGCGATCTGATTCTCATGATTGGCCTCTTAACGCAAAGCTATTCTGCGAGCTCGTGGGTTTGTTTGTTGGAGTGAGCTTCGCTGCTTTTAGCTGATTTTGTCGCTGGTAGCAGCTCTATAGAGAGCCGATATCGTAATAGGAGGGTACGAAAGCGTTCAAGAGTTCTTTGGCCCATGATACACTTTCTCAACTCAACACTTTCTTTGACTTCATCCATCATATAAATGAAATGAATACATATAGCTCTTGCACAACACGGTTTAATAATTTACCAATACATAGAAACTAACCTTGAAGAAGCGTCAGAAGGCTTGGAACAAGTGAACTGAACCCCATGCCCACAAAGTAGGCGTTGAGGTACGCGTGGTGAAACTGTGCCATAAATGGCATGAAGAGCACATTTGAGGTAGCATTAACGAGAGCCAACCCGAATAGCAACAAATAAAGTGCAACAGAGTACTCCCGACCGGCAATTGGTACCGTCCACCACCAAGCAAACACAAGACCTGTAAAATAGGACGAATTGATAGTGTGAAGCGGCATAAGGAAAATATAAGTGTGTGTCTGCCGGATCGGGAGGATTAGGATAGCAGGCGACGGTTTCAGGATAGTAATAAGATCGCAGATAGAGTTGCGCTGACAAGATTGATTTCGGTATCGAGCGATTGAAAATCGCTGGACGCAGTAGTAGATTGGGGCGACTTCAAGCGAATAGATCAATACATATCTAATCTTGTCAGCGCACTATCCTAATCTACTACTATCCTAATCTCCTACTCTACTACTATCCTACTATCGTAATATCGCAATCTACTACTCTCCAGCGATTTCAATCGATACGTATCTAATCTTGTCAGCGCAATCTCCTACTCTACTACTATCCTAATCTCCCCGTCAATACATATGTTTTTCATTGTCGCGTACTATCCTAATCTCCGGAGTCGCGAACTATGAACGCGGCCTAACCAACCTACCGAGTTCACAAAAAGAAGCAAGTGCAAGAAATGCTGTTATTAGCGGCACCGTGGGAATGGTTATAGATTCACAACCTTTGTGCAGTATAGTGTAGACAAGAGGACCAATACATGCCACCTAAAAGAATGAAATATGAAGAATATTTCTACCACTCTGAAGATTCAAAGAAGTTTTTTTCTGACCTGCACTACAGCGGCAAGAAAACTTGGGAGTCCCCATCCTTCTGGTAGATTCGCAGTTAGGAGTGGGAGCTGCATCCAGATTGAATTTGTACCCATCCATGAGCTTGATCCAAATACAATCACCAGAATAAACATCAGTTTTGAGACGGCCATCTGTAATGACAAACAATTTCATGACCTCAAAAATTTTATGATGTACTTCGTATAAATACCCAGGGATCAGAACTGGTTAAAGGGAGTTCGAGAGAATTCTTTGGTGTTTTTCCAGCTATACGGTATGGTAAAGACTCATAGAAGAGTTCGGCTATGCCATTCTGATAGCTGCCATGGTCGCCTCACAGTGCTTCATAAGTTGCGAGGCCAGGAAAGCTTGCATTTTCTGTTGACCTCCTGGCTTGATGGTTTATTAGTTGGAGAGGGGTGGTCTCTGGAGAGGGGTAGTTAGGTAAATTGCCGTTATGAAGGAGGTATAAACTGGACGCGGCTCCTGGTATCAAGCGAGGTCATTCTCGAGGTTCCCACCTCCAGAATGACCTCGCTTGATACCAGGAGGCTGTGGTGGAGTAATGAATGCATCGGTCAATTTTGGTACGATACCACAGAAATCCTATAATTTTTCGAGGGGGATACTGACTCCTAGAATCGATCCTATACGGAAAAGAGAATTGAAGGAAATATTCCTTTAGACCTAGTTTTACCACGTTGTCGCCATCTTTGAACAGAGACTAATGAACGGCTAGCGAAATGGGAAGAAAGACTGCATGTAACGACCGATCTTTATCAAGGTTATATAGGCCATGCAAAGCACCACAGAACACGCGAAGCTTATCTTGAGCTATTGCGCAATTCGTGCTCCCGGACTGTCATCATTCCCCCCGCCCCCCCCCCCCTCCCCCCCCCGTGCTCCCGGACTGTCATCATTCATGTGGTAGGCATGCATGCAAAACAAGTCAAGGCTCAACTGTAGTTGATGGGAGGCATCATGGCGTGGAGCATAAATGGCATTTAAAGTAACAGAAAATTTGCATTTCACCAACATGGTTCTCTTCTTGTATAGTAGACTAAAGAGCCACCTAGAGCTCCCTTTCCCTGCGAAAAGTGGGCACTGTCGCCAGGACGAACGATCGCCGCGGTGGCTCTTCCCAATACTCCCAGTTCACCTAGTAGTCAGGGCCGTATGCTGAATGTTGGGTAGGGGACGGGGATGGGTGAACGTTGGGGAGGTTCGTCGCAGGACCCTTCTGGGCAGCTGTCGCACCTTCAATATTGCAGCTTTGTTTGTATTCTTTCATCGCTGCTTTTGGTATGAAGAAAGATATTTACGTGCGAATATACAATCAGAAACAGTAAAAGGGTGAAAACAAAGCTGCAAAATCAAAGGTGCGACAGCTGCCCAGAAGGGTCCTGCGACGAACCTCCCCAACGTTCACCCATCCCCGTCCCCTACCCAACATTCAGCATACGGCCCCAGGATCAGTCGGGGTCATCAGTTTTGAATATAACGATCGCTGAAGCTTGAAAAAGGGAACACGTGGACATTTACGATCTTTACCCCCACGAAAGAAGACGTAATACAGTGGAGTGCTTCTAAAAACGACCATCTTATTCATACACTAATGCTTGGATACCTAGTGGTAATATGGGTCTGAAACTCAGCTTATCGAAAGGATCACTACAGTTTCAAAGTAAAAGTGAGTCAGTATGGCATCAGTGACGCTGTACTGATTATTTAAAGTACTGCAGTGTTGATTAAAATTAGATAAGCAGTGAAAAGGGAGTGAAAATGATCCGTGGTTCATAAGAGTAGGTGAGCGATGTTTTGACGGAGAAACGTCGCCAGGGAAGAATCAAGTGATAAGATAGCTGCTAAGTAGACCGTTTACATAAACGGCGACAGAGAGAAAGGGCAGCTTGAAAAAAGAGTGAATGTATTATATTTTGATCCTGAAGAATAGAATATTGTTCAAGTACAGGTATTAACAATCCGTCGAAGACATGTCGTTAAAAATATTTTACATGTATTGCTCTTGTAAGGATTTTATGATCTTTAACAAGTAGTGTTGATTTGATATGCTTTGCGAAATTTCAACAACTTTCTTCAGAATAATCTTCTTTGAGTGCAACATTCACAAGTGTCTAGAATTTCGTAGTTATGCACGCCTCAAACACACCAAGGGAACTGCAGGAATTTCCTCGAGTGGAGTTCGCCTTTTCGGGCGAGTTCATCTGTTCACAAGTTTACACTACCGTCCACTTCTGGCTTCCAGTGACCATTTTGACCAGCCGGTCAAAATAGCGATTTTTCGGCAGCAAACTTTGGCAGGTGCATGGGTATTTATACAACAAGCTCTCCAACTTGTGAGCTATCCATCTTCCCAGCTTGTGCGCTTGACCACAGCTCGAGCTTGGCCTCTCACAGGGTCTCTTGAAAGACTGAAGCTCTACCGCACTGCAATTGACGGGTACTGGCGTACGGGTTGCCTTCAATAAGCCCCTGGATTCGTTTAGTTCTACGATCATGGCTGCCCGAAACCTGGTCAGTCTACAAGGTTGTATTTGCCCTGGCAAAATTTCTCACACCGCTTTCCTTATTAACATATCCAGTCCATCAGCTGCACAAATATTCCGATAGGCTCCTCTCGACCCGTGGAGTAGATAGTTACGAAACAGTTGAAATGGACAGCATTATGCTTCTCAGAGAAGTACTTGCGGTCGAATTTCGTCATGTGAAAGGTTACTAAGGGCAGCCGTAACCCTTTGCTAGGAACAACGCAAACATGTTTTGGGAAATATAGCGATACACTGACTCACCATACATACTACAAAAAACGAAACAAAGACGGCAACGTACTCGGAAGAAGTGCGGAAAACACGATGAATTATATAATACAATTAAAATTCAGTGATTGTGTCGTGAAGTCACGAAGAACTCGAAAGGAGCAGGAAGTTCTTGTGATCTTTGTCCTCCATTGAACCTCTTGGCAGAAAAATCCTTGTTTTCAAGACCAGCCGTATGATTGAGAAGATTCCTCGAAAAAGTCAGTTATTTCTACAAGATCCTTGTATCTCTTTCAAAAAAATTAGTCCTCACCCAAAGCAACTTTTTCGGGCAATCAGAACTCCGAATAAACAAACTGTTGGACCACTTCTCGGCTTACCTAGCTCAAACGATGTTATGGTTGACGCTCTATTAATTAAACACAGGATGATTTTTTTAAAACCGACGCAATAAGCACGACTGCAGAGCATGACTGTGCCTATGGCCGGCATGGGCGTAGACGAAGGATGAACAGCACAAAGGCGACAACAAATGCGAGCGATGAGCAAATAACAAGCTTGTACTTGATTAGCAGTCGTGTCTTTTCTCGGTAAGAGCTGATATTCATGTACTCCTGTTAGACTAACGGATTTTGTCTTTGAGAGAGTCCCACATTTGAACAATAGCAGGCTATACAAGTGGGGTGGGCACGCCCAGCTTTTCACGCATGTCAAGTGACTGCCCTCACCCCCACCCCCTAGATTGGCTACACTCCCCCTGGCTCACGAATTCCCCGATTCTCGTGACAGTATAGTAGCGGCAGCAGTCCCACTTACATACATTTCTGTTCAAAAAATGCGGCGTGCCCACCCTACTTGTATAGCACCCAAAGAATAAATAAACATAGCGTTGCATTAACGCAAGTTAATTTGCGCTGTAATAACCATTTTGGAAGCATTATTCTCGTTTGCTGCTTTTAACTAATGACTTACGGTAATAAAATGGATCTTGGAAAGATGACTAGAACCCTATCTAAAAGTCTGTTCATGAAACCCGTTGTGAAATTGTAGGAAGGAGGTACAAAACTCTGCTCTTTCTCAGGGTGATTGAAAATTGAAGCTAAAAGCTTCCAATATGAGGAATGAAACTCACGTTGTCATAGGAGTGAGACATGTCCGTCCCCTCAAATGGTCTTGAAAGGTGCACTGGCCGTCGTCAAATCCTCAGAAGCCTTCCGATTCATTATCATTCACAATGTTATTAATTCAAATTCCTGAAATTTCAAAGTTTGAAGGGAGCAGCTGAAGTTAGACAAACTACTCCCGGCTGGATTTTCTCCCGTCTCGTCTCGCGCGGCGCAGTTTTTCTGCAGAGGACAACTGGTCCAAGGGGGCCTAGCGGTGTTTCATTTTGTTGGGCTGGAAAAGCGACTCCTACTTTTCCCATGAATCTAAACATTAGCTTTCGTTTGTACTTACCAGATTGTTCACGTGGAGGGAAATTATTTTGTTCTAGTCTTGGTGTTATAGCGGCTTTATGTAGATTCATTCCCCAGTGCTTTCCAGTGTCCTCTAAACCGATGTTCTTGATCTGGTATTTGTCTTAGTTTTTGAGACAAACATTACCTCTGCTTATGGTCGTGAGATAAATACTTTCACTGAATCAGGAGCATGCCGCAGAATATAATTTGTGGCAGTTGTCCACAATTGCTGGTGCCATGCTTTTGTCATGAGAACATTGCTCTTGCATACTTCAGCGCATTTAATCTAGTTTGTAACTTACAATACTGTTTCATAAATTATGTCTTAAATATGTGTGAGAATTGGTGATTCTCCTTTTCATAGAACAATCGTTTTTATGTAACTAGACTTTCCAAGGTAATATTTTAATAAGGCGTTCTTGACAGCGGCTATCAATTTCTTTTGCGAGGCATCAGCTGACAACTTGCGTTGAAAGTGACTTCATTTCTTGCTTATTTCAGGTAGTCATGGTGGTGGCGAAGGTATTCGAAGTCGCCAAATGGACAGCTGAAACTGCTGTTGGAGCAGTGAAGGCCGTTGCAAATACGAAGGATCCCATCCCTAAAACGGACCTCCACCCGCGAATGCCCGCACGGCCCTGGACTGCTCAAGAATACGTAAGGCTACTGTTTGATCTCTTTCATCTTCCGAGTTCAGTTGTAGACTTTGCAGAATTTTTTTTGGAAATAATTAAAACATACATATGAGACTAACTCTAACCTGGAGACGAAAAACGGTGAAAATAATTTTAATCGTTTACCGAGACACTATTTGCCCGTCTGCTATTTTAGTTGCGCATGTGGTCGTGGCGCCATTGCTGGAAATATCTACCAGTATTCCGCTTCTACATCTATTCTGGGGTCATTGTTTTCGCAATTTTCAAGTTCGTAGTGCCAAGTGAGTGAAGTTTTGCATTTTAATTTTTACATCTTTCATTTTTTTCCTTTGGTTTTGCACGTGTGTTACTTTTCGCTTTACTTTTATTTTCGATTTTCGCTTATCTCTTTCTTCTTAGTCATTCAGTGTGGTGCGGAAGTTATAAATTTTACAACCAGTTGGGAATAGCTAGTGTGCTTGCTTGAAGAGTAGTGCCTTGCAATGTGATCTTTAATGAGTTGACAGAAGGTTCTTCAGGGTTCTGGGGATACTTCCATTTCCTATTTCTCACCGTTTCCATCCTAAATCTGTAAAAGTTGAAAATAGCAGCGCTGGCGGATGATTGTGAAACCTTCTCCCTAAATTCGCGTTTCGTCCAGGGTATAGGCGCTTTTCAAGAAGTTTGTCGCCAAGAATCGAAGATGTGGTAAGAGTAGGACGCTAAATGTGACATTGTTATGGAGACAGGGGTTAAGTTTGGATCTGGTACTGATGATGTACAAGTTGCATCTCATCCACCCTTTCCCTTTCCCTCACATTCCCGTTCTACACCAGCCTATCTCTTTACTCTCGAGTGGAAAGTCAAATTAAAGGAAGCGATTACGATAAAGAGGGAGCGCATCGGGAAAGCATGTGCACCACACGAAGCAGTTACTTGGCTGCCAGGAAGCGAGTGTGGCGCTTTCACGACGAAAGGTGCGCTGGTTGCTGAGCAGGACTTCGAAAGCACTCCGCCCCAAAAGCGATCCGCCCACTAGTTTACTTGGTGATTTGGACGAGCTGCGTTGCCAGCAGCGGCACAACTGGAGCAACTCGATTGGAGCGTGGTTTGGCATGCGTTGCGGTGAACTCGTTCATACGTCCGCTTTCTGAGCTGTTACCTGTTCATGAGTGAAAACCAACGGCCAAAAAGGGGGTCCCGTTTTGCGTTTTTTGACGGATTTCTCTGCTTTTTTCGCCACTGGCGTACCACTGAGCACCACCACGTCTCCTTTAAACCCTTGTAGAACTATCGTATAAGGAGGTCGCTTTACTC